TGAAAAATAACGATGATACATTTTGTATTTCGAATTAGGATAACGGTCGCGTTCAGTTTTTGAATTTATTGTTATTTTAATCTTGAATTTCGGGGAGTGAAGGTGTGTGTGCAGTGTTAAAAGTTTCTTTTTTAAGTTTTACATAATTTATCTGTCTCCTTAAGATTATTTCTAACTTTTTCTGCCGTGATTACTTCACATTTTTTTATAAGATATCTGGCACTATACAAGTCTTTAACTCGGAGTAATCGAAGCCAATCCGCTGTAATAAAGCAAATAAACGTTCAATCGAACTGCAAGTGTAAACTATATCGAACGTAACACTGAACCGTTTAAACGTCATTGGTGATCAAAAAGCGTACTACCGTGTTGCAATAAAAGTAAATAATTACAAGCTATGCAGAGCGGAAAATAACCAAATATTGAACGTTTCTATGAGAGCCGTATTAATACTGTGATTACCGCATTGTGAACCTATGTCCGTTGTTACTGGGCTAACATGGGGCACGATATTAAATATATCACGATCATTTTATAATTCTACATTCACTATTGCATGCTTACTAGTGATCACTGTTGTTTTGTTATAGTAAATACGTTATTGTTTTCTGCTGTTTATTATAAACACTGATTCTTCATTTGTTTTTCTGGTATCCATAATTACAGAAACATTTCCTCTTATCTCTTATTCTCCCAAAACCATATCTTCGTTAATTACTTTGTTCTCAAGTTTCATCGCTTCATATGAATCTAATTTCAAAAGTTCTCCTTCTGTCAGGTTCATTATGATATTTAAAACAGTGATGATTACAAATATGGCGATAAAATGAGAAGTCATATATTAGTAGCGGTCCTGCAGTTGATATGCCTAGTTCATTCTGCATTTATATCCTACGTGGGTATCGGCGACTTTCATGTAAGTACTTAAACTTAATTGATGGGAGTATCATCCTCTTTTTCCTTATATTCTCTCCTCTACATTTGTCTTTGGATTATTGTATAGATCTAGCCTATTTTCTTCTTTTACGATATGGTATATGAAAATTCTGATTGATACAATGCCATGTGTCTTTCCCCTAGCTCAAAATTATTATTGACATTCTCTTCTTCTCTCTTTGCCTGTTGGTAACATTCTCTATTTTCACAATTGTTTGTTCTCGCGTGTCTTTCTAGGATAATAAGAATAATAAAATAAAAAAAATATAATTGTTTATTGTACAAAAGAAAAGGATCTCAATTGCTTAGACGTAGTTATGACTGGCTAAAGATGGATGTGTAGGTATAAAACTAATTAGTCTTTGAGGAAAAAATGTCATGATCGTGTGTTGTGGAAGAAAGCTGAATCATTCGTAATTTTCCCGGATATTAGACTTTGGTCTATCATCAACATAAATTGAATAGGTACTAAATAATTTGTCATCAAATCCCTTATCTAAGACGATTTCTTTTATCTTTTATTTACATGAAGTTTCCCTGTTAATTTCTTATCGCGATTATCTTGTTTCCATAGATGTTCCTTATACTATTGCTTTATATAGTCACTGTGATTTATAATTACGATCAGTCATTGCATTTGAATTTGTGATTCTGTTGCTGTAGTTGTTATTATAACATTGCATCTCTGTTGCAAGTGAGTACGGAGTAATTTGAAGTTTGAAATCTAATATGTTTGAGATCTATGTTGCTCTGATCTTTACTAAGCAACATTCTTTATACTTAGGGTGTGGTTAAGCTAATCTAAGTGTAGTTATCAATGTATAGATTGATTTATTTTTTCACTAATCCTGATTTTTATAAGACATAGCTATTTTTCATGCGAAACTGGTCTTTATCTGGTTGTCTACAGACTTCACTACCTAGACTGCTTTAGAAGGCTAGGCCATTGAGGTAGTATGAAGTAGGTAAGCATTTATCACACAAACTTAGGCGATTCTGCTTTAGGCTCCGTGCTGACTCCTGTGTAATTAGGAAATGCCAGTAGATAAAAATGAACATTATCATCATCGTCGTCAATAAATATGTTTTCATTATAGTTTATCCGTTTTTGTCTTATCTACACATTTTAATACATATTTACAAATTGCCCGCCTATGGATTTCCCATTCTACATTTCCTATTGCTGTCACACGATTGTCTTGCATATTTTTGCTATCTGAAGTAATATTTATAAAGCGGAAGAGTTGCCAGTTTGATTGTACTAATCTCCAGAACTACTAGTTCCAATTGCCAATTTTTTTTGTTGCATAGTCCATTTAACAAGGAAGGCTATAGCTATAAACTATTGGTCGTAGAGTGATGTTTTATCGACCAATAGGACCCGAGCTGTAGTTGAAATCTGGCGGTGGTAGATAAGTCAGTAAATATCATCATCAATAGCCAGTGCGAGTCCACAGTTGAACTATGAGTACTATGTACTATGTCCACTCAGGACTTGAAGACACCCAAGTTGTATTTGTCGGAAAACACAGATTCCGGCAAGGAATTCCATTTCTTAGCGGTTCACACAAGGAAAGTTTTATCAGAGAGAGATTTATCAGAGGGCGCTGTTGCCTGGTCTCTTTTAAATATGTCGTTCCTTACCAAATATAAGTAGAAGTAATTCCTCAAATATGTTTAGTTTGTACGTAGTGTACTGTCGGTCGAATGGTCGTGGTTGACAATGCTCCTTACGTAATACTAAGTCGGACAATTATGGAAGTTTGACAAATGGCGGGAACGCGGTCAAGGTTCGATGCCGACTGATGCGCAATCTTCATTATTGTAGGAATCGTATTTAGCATTTTTACTTACGTTCTGGGCGCCTTGGGATTCAATGTGGTATTCTTGTCGTTTTGCTTAGTGTATTTTGTTCTTGGTTTAGATATATTGTTCGTCTCTAAAATTCAAAAGGTTCTCTTCTAGGCTAACCTGCGATAGGACAGAAAATTTCATCATTAGCGCGCCAGTAGTTTTGTAGTTTTTGGAGAACATCGACGTTATGTCCTCTATTAGATGAATATTGACAGCATTAACAGACATGATTTCTGTAGACGCTTATTGCAACAATATTATTCTTAATTTTTTGCTATAAATGTAACTATCGAAATAAAAACTAAGATTCCATTAAATAGAAAATCTACTTTTGTAATGAAGTCCAAGTTAGTACAAGTAAAACATTTCCCGATACGTAAGGTCCCAGGTTCAGTGTCCGTATGCTACAATGGCACATAAATGGTTTATAACCGTAGTAAAAGCGAGTGATATCGGTATACGCGGAAGTATTAACAAAAGGTTTTAGAACGCAAAACTAAAACTATTGAGAAATTGCTTTTTTGAAATCTATGGTTTCTCTAGGAGGTGCAATAACCTTTGATATACCCTATTTTCTACCGTAGGTTTTGACGATTTTGGGTATAGCGAAATTAGGAACATATTTTTATAGAATGCTTTCAATTAGACTGCAAAGTTAAGATACGCGAATTTTGATAGCTTTTCTCGACACGCTAATCTGAAAAATATGGCCAATGTATGGCAACTTAACAATCAATAGCTAATTTTTAAATTACTATAATGTCATATCGGGGAAAACCCAGTTAGTATCAATGAGTAACCTTTACAGTAATTATAGTGGTTTAATAATGGATACGGGTCTCAGCCAGCCCAGGGATTAAGATAAAGTATTTATCAGTGCCTTATCATTATCTATGGGTACAACATCGTAAAGATGTAGTGTAGCAATTGTTTGCTGAACAACGGTTGTAGGATTTGTTAGAAATAAGGTCTCGAGGGACCACGTCGTGTTTAGAAGATTGTTTTAGGCGAAAATGCTGACTTTTATTTTAGGTAACAATTGTGTTTTCCAAATCTGCTCTGGTTTTTAAGTCCTGTTTCGTCGTTCGAATTTTTCATTCACAAATTGTATTTAGTTATATGACAATTTATTTCATCTAATGAAGTTTGGTTTGATTCTTTTGGCTTAATAAGAGATACTATATTTTTATCATCTACAAAATTGTGAGTGCTTTCACGTCACCTTTTAATGGTACCTTTATCACCGTCTCGTATTGTATTGAGCACTTTGTCACATAATTTAAAGGCTTCTGTTCATTTCCATCTATCGTCAACTGTTACTTTAACATGAGTGAGTTGTGAACCGGATCCGTCTGATAATTCTGTCACCTAAAATGTGGTGTTATCGGTTTTCACGCACCACTTAGTAAATGAGGGCTCCTTCCTTATGTGACTGCTATGAGTGAGCCAGCTAGCGTTGTAATGAGTACTGTTGGACGAGTCGATAGTATTTTACATAAAGGCGCACGTTTTGTTGCATTTCTTTCTTTAATTTAATTTTTAAAATTTTTAAATTTCTTTCATTCTGATATAGATTTGTAGTCGCATTTTCTAATTGAAAAGTTTGAACTTCTGAAAGTTGCGAATTGCCAGTTTTAGTAACCTACCTCTAGTTTTCCTTACTAGGCACAGAAGAGACTGCCCGTTACTTTTGATCTATAATCTTCGATCAACAATAGCAACTGGATAATTTTGTTTACCTATCTAACTAAATTGAGACCGATTAATGAAATACCATCACCTGAAAAGCTGTCCTACCAATGAAATAAACAGTACAAATGTTACCCCACATATGTGTTGCATTACTAATGCCCCAGCTAACGACAACTAAGCCAACACGATGACTTATGTCCTCAACTGTACAGTCTGACTCAACTCAGCCATAAAACTGGCTGATAACGATATCGTGTGTTTAAACAGACACACTCACATACTCGTGTGTGTACAATTGGTCTCGCGACGATACACTCCATGTAGCCGTGGATTTTTGTTAAATACTGTCAATTCAATTGGAAATTCCAATTTATGCTTGTTTCGTTTGTGGGTTGGTTATGATAGTGACTACTTAGCGAAATATAGAAGATTCTATGACCAATGTATTTTTAAAATAATTAATTGTCATCATGTTTTATGGTATTCAATATCTAACGTTTTGATTTCTTTCTTTACAGAAGATCAGCAAAAAGAATGGCGTTAAAGAAGAGGAGTCTAGTTGGTACTGGGACCCGCCGCCCCAAACGTCGAAATTATCCGATGATACTGAAGAGAATTATGTATCACAAATACGAGACCTACAAAGAGAGCTTGCCACCCTGAGAGAACGAGAGACTATTGATCGAGTGCTGCATCAAGGCCCACCTGATGATGAACTCGTCCGATTGAGAGAAGAAAATAAAAACCTTACCTCCAACCTAGAAGATTTAGACAACCAACACCAACAGGCTATGGAAAGACTTCTAACTTTAAAAAGAGAGTTACAAAGCAATTTTGAAGATTTAAAACAAGAACACGAAGATCTCAAAACTGCTAATGAAGAGTATATAGCTGAAAACAAGAGGTTGCTTACGACAATCGGTGAAAGGGATAGGGAATTAGAGGTAGCTAATGCAATCAAGGCTGATCATGAGACTTTATCACATAAATATCAAAATTTAGAGAGGATACATGGTCTGTTGCGGGAAAACGCTGAAAAGTTTCAAGAAGAAAATCAAGAATTACATGAAGAAGTATTCAAGTTGCAAGAACAGGTGACAAAGTTGGAGCATGACTTAGAAGTAGTACAAAAACATGCAGAACATTTAGATATGGTCCCAAGGGATACTTACGAACAGCTTCTAAGAGAAGTGAATGAATTGAAAGAGAGAAGAAATTCAAATCAAATTCATTTAGATGAAATCAATATCGATGATAACGCTAAAGGTGTAATCGAAACACTGAAACGTGATATAAGCGAGCTAAAACATAAATTAGCTCAGAAGGAAATTAGTTCTTCAGAAAATGTAGATAATAAAGTAATAAAACCTGAGAAGATTATGCAATTGTATAATAAGTATGTTAACTTTGAACTTCCCATTGATTATGTTGGTGAAATACCTTCAGCTGGCGACAATATAGTTTTGTTCAAATTAGAGAGTGTTTTCAAAACCGTTAATTCTTTCAAAAAAGGAATCGATGTGTTAGACCATCAGCTATCAGAAAAGAATCTAAATACAAACCACCTGCAAACACAAATAGATGATCTGACCACAGAAAATGATTTCTTAACAACAGACATTCAGCATCTTGAAAGAGAATTGAATGAGATGAAGAAGAACAATGATTTCCTCATATCTGAAATTGCTGCTTTAAAGAATACGTCCAAGTTGCAACCGATTATAGAATCACATGAGGACAACTTGGCGAAATTAGAAACGGAGCTAGCTGACTCCAATAATATGAATAAACTCTTTGAATCGGAAATCAAGAGGATACTCAAAGAGCTGGAGGAAGTACGGGCTGAAAAAACTTCTCTTCATGATGCCTTACGGGACTTAAAACAGAAATATACAACGATGTTGGATGAATTTGAAATGCTTAAAAATCAGACTAAAACAGTCGTGGAATTAGAACATAATGCAAATAATCAAGATTCTGAGAAACTTAAAAAGACAGCGGATGAGATAGATGATCTGAAGAAACGACTAGCTGCTGCCAATTCGAAGAATGAACAGCTGTCTATAGATATACATATTTTGGAAAACGACAAAGTGTTATTAACTAAAAAAGTCGATGATCTTAAAAATGTACTAGATGAGAAGTCTAATGCACACAAGGAGTTAGAAAATTTGAAATCAACTTTGGATTGTAAACTACACGACTTTGAAAATAAGTTGGATGAAGTCATTAGACATAAACAAGAAGTAGAGGTAGACAAACAAAAGCTACAAGAAAAAGTTGCTGTATTACAGGATCAATTAACCACTACTGATACTGAAAATAACGCAAAGTTAGAAAGCATGATGACGGAGAAGACTTTACTGGGTGAGCAGCTGAAACACATGTCTAAAGAAAACGAAACTCTGACGCAATCTATTGAAAAATTAAGAACGGTTATACTTGATCTGCAACGGCAGGAACAAGAGTTATTAGATGAAAATAACGATCTTAAGAAAAACATACAGTATGAAAGGAATTCAAAAGTTCTTGAAGACACTATCGATGAGTTAAAATCTAAAACTGTTCATCAAGATATACTTACCAATGAAGTCGCTAGTCTAAAAGATGAAAACAAAAAACTAATTGAAAAGAAAATTCAACTCGAAGCAGAATTAGTATCAACTGATAGTAAAATTGCGCATTTAGAGGAGGAATTTGATAAATTAATTGTAGACCTCAATGAAAAAGATACTCTAATTGACGGTCTTAACAGCACAATTCACCATAATAATATTACTCTCCAGAAATTAAATGAAAGTGGAGCTGAAATGGAAAAAAGTATTTCTGTGAAGAATGAAGAAATACATAAACTTCAACGTTCTGTAGAAGAGCTTACTTTAAAACTCAACGACACTGTTGGGAAATCAGATCGAAGTCAAGAAGAATTGAACAGACTTCATGGTGAAAAGGAGGAACTCAACAAGCAGGTGCTCTCATTAAATGACGAAATCAATTCTAAAAACAATGAGATATCTTCATTAACATTGCATCTGGAACAAACAGAAAAGTCTTCAAATGAACTCAAAACATTGATAAGTAATAAAGAAAAAGAAATCAAAGAACTAAATCAATCAATAGTAGAATTAACTGATAAATTAAAAACTGCAGAGAATGTAATGCATCACAATGATGATTATGCCAAACTAGATCAAGAGAAGAAAGCAGTAGAGGCTGAGGTTGTTGCACTTATAGAATCAGTAGCCGCTAAAGAGAAAACTATAGAGGACATGAAACAAAGTCTCGCATCGACTGAGAAGATATCAAATGAATACAAATCAATAATAGATACAGCTATGACTGAGAAAACGGAACTGATCAACTTAATAAACTTAAAACATAATGAGAGTATACAGTATCATAATGAGATACAAAGATTGAACCATGTGATTTTGGAACAGACGAATGAATACAAGAAGGTGATAGAAGAGAAAGACAAACAGCTTCTGAATTCTTCTGACCATTGTAAAAACTGCGAGAACTTGATGGTTACTCTGAGAGAAAAAGACGGGATTATAATGTCTTTAAGTCAGAATGCGTCTGGTTTTGAGAAGACAATGGCTGATCTGGTAGCAGCCAGTGAATCAGTGAAGGTGCTGACTGAGAAATGTGATAATCTGGAGAAGCATTTGTCAGTGCAGGTGGAGACGGTAAAGAAATTGACGGCAGAAAATTTACAGGTAAGATTTTTATGGCCTATGAATTTGTTTTAGTATAATAGCGTTTCTTTCATTTGTTTATGAGATCCAAGATAGTTTGTTCATGGCTCAAACATACATCGGACCTGATTGCTTAGATGTTTTCTCTCTTTTGGTTTGATCTTTTAATAGGGCAAATTTCTACGGTTTATAATTAGTTACAAAGTTTGAGAAGCAGTTGAGGATCCATTTTATAAAAAAATAGTTCATTTTTAATCGCCAACTGTCGCTTCAGTCATTTTCTATAACCAATAAATTAATAAATTCATCATAGATAAATCATCTTGTATCAAACTTTATACATGCCTTGTGTTTCCATATTCAATAAATACCACTTCTTCTTCAGTTGTCGGAACTAGAACAGAACTCGGTGAAGGAGTTGGAGCGACTCAGGCGCCACCTGGTGGAGACAGAGGAGAATTACACCCAGGAGCTGATGTCGTCGGAGCAGAAGCTGACGGAGTGCCAGGCCAGGCTACACCAGGTCGAGGAGAGAGCCAAACAGACTAGTACTGTTTATACTAGTAATAGGTAAGTTTTCTTTTTGTTTAGAAATGGGTTTTTGTCTCTTTTGCTCTGTTGATAAGTTCTATGATTAAGAGTGAGACAGCACGATTTTTGTCAGACTATATGAACATATTTTTTTGTTGATATTCAAAAGTGCCTTCCTGGTCTAATTTAATAAATGATTTTGATTTTGACTTTGTCTATTAATGTCAGCTGTAGCTATTGGTTGAAAGATTAAAGCTTGTGCTACGCAGTATTGTAAAACTGGCTTTAGATTTCTTCTCTTATTCTGTATTTTTCCACGATTAAAGCATTAATTTAACTTCAAAATCTTCCAGCATCCGAGCGAACCAAGAAGTGGAGACGTATCGCAACCAGATCAGGTTATTAGAGAAACAACGCGATGAGGTACAGGCTCGACTCAGTGACGCCGAGGATGCACGGAGCAGGAGTGAAGCAGCACTCACCAACCTACAAGTCGTGCTTGAGCAGTTCCAACTAGGTCAGTTTAATGTGAACTTTATTGTGGTGATGTAAGGTGTATTTTGTTTCGGATTGATCCTAGATTGGCTAATAGATTTAGTGGTTGTAAGTTTGTAAGACCGATTGTTGAGGAAGAGGTTTCTTGTTTGAATGCTGAGTCGAGCAAAAATTACTTAGTTATCAGATTTTTCGACTGCCTCGTTGGCCGAGTGGTCGCAAGTTTGATTGCCGAGCAAGGGGTCTCGGGTTCGATTCCCGGGTTGCGCAAAGTATTACTGAGTTTAAAAAAAATCAGTAGTAGCACGGTATCTGGAATTGTGCCTGGTATATGGCAATAGGCTCATTCCTTATTACATGGGACTCATAACATAAATAGTCAAAACAAAATTGGGTGTGACATTGTGCAGTGGCATTAAGTGCTGTAATGTGCACCTCTCTCTACCCTTTCGGGGATAAAGGCGGGATGTTATGTAATAGAAATATTTATTTATCCGTTATTACAAAGTAATTAAGCTATCGAGGAGTAATTATTTAACTTAACGTTATAAATAACAACAACATGAATAAACTGTTATAATGTAACTAAGAGCACCATTGTCATCTTCAGACAAAGAACGCGACATACATTCAGCAACAGAAAAAATAAGAAACAAAATGGAAGAACAACGACGAGAGAACCGTGGTCTTCAAATAGAGATATCCAGGTTAAATGCCAAGCTGGAAGAGGCACTGACTGGTCTCCAAGCTGCCTCCAGGCTTGGAGACCAGGTCGAGATGAAGAGGGCTGAGATTAACGACCTTAAGGAGCAAGGTATGTGGTGTTCTGATGGGGAACTTAGAAGTCAGATTCTGGAAGTATTATTTGTATGTTTTGAGTTTTGGTCGTTGTGACGATTTATAAGTGAAAGTACTTCATTTTTGACTGATCTATTGACTAATTTTGAATTTGATTAATATATGCAATTTGGCTGAGATATACCCAATATTTGCATGCCCAATGAGTAGAACAAAGAGATACTATATGTAACTTAAAATAACACCTTAGTCACTATGTACTGCCGCGGTGAACTTAACGGGTTACCGGGGCTCCGGCTCGAACTCTTGAATTCAATTCCGATCGATCGACATCGGTATAGTGAAATTTTGTACTCTTGAGTTGCAACACTAGCGCCGATTGCATCCGTATTGCGTGGATATTGAATGAACTAAATGGTATTAAGTTTGGCTTTATATTCCGAACTCTGAATACTATTTTAACAGCTACGATACGGATTGTTAGGCTTTGACATTGAATAATTATTGAGATTTTATTGGATTGAAATTGCATTGACATTGAGATTGGTTTCAAGAGTAAGTACTCAGGTGGGAGAAGTCAGTCGATAATTTTCCCCTCTTAAAAAAAAGTTACTACGTACTACACCTTTGTTCACCAAGTGTTTTAGGGGAATTTGAGAATATTGTTTATAGGAAATCTATTTAGTGAGTTCAACCTTATGAATGATAACAGCACCAGTGATAGTATTGGGGAGATATTTTGAAGCAGTTCAAAGTTTAAAAACTTAAAGAAAAGCTTTGAACTCATAGTGATAGTATTTTTATTTATACATTTGGGAAACATCATAACATCAGCTATAAGATTTAATTGAGTAGAATGTGGTATGCAACAAAAATCTAATTACTGGGTTATTAACTAATTAATTAGTAACAGAGAATAATAGAATGGAAAGGAATAGAAATGTCTGTTCTTTATTCCTAGAAAGAAATACAAAACAGGACACTTATGTGAAAAAAATACTATTATCCGAGTTTAAAAATATATCAATATTAACTCGTCGAGTACCGGTTTTGTAGACACAATTATAGAACAATAGGTTGCGGTCACCGGTGACCGTTTGGTGATTGACAGTTTAAGCTTGGCAGTTGAAGTGTTAAGAATCAGAATCCCATTGATTATAGGACCTCGCTTCATTTTTTAAGTCAGTTAATAAAACAATCTGTAGATCGTGTCAAATATTTTCCTCCTAGATAAACTGAAACACAATATTATCATCATCGTTGAAAGATGAAATTAATTAATATAACAACAATAAATATTTCCACAATCTGATACAATTACTTTAATTCCTTCACATTTGCTTTAGATTAGATTTTAATGCGTACATTCGTTTGAAGTTATTGATTAAAATATTGTATTTGTAGAGATTAGTGATCATTTTTTTAATTGTTTTATCTGTAATTGTCAGTGCATTGCTAACAAATAGATTAATGCCAACGTTTTGTATTATAGATTAATATCTGTTTGTAAAAATTCTGCACTGATTTGTGATGATGATTAGGTATTTGAGGAATTTTTTCGGCGATGATAAATAATGGTGAAATATTTTTCTTTTAATCTTTGTTTATATATGTTTTCGGCTTATTCATGTAACTGTTCGAGGGACTCGATTAGTTTCAAGCCATGCTAGAGGCTCATATTCAACAGCAGCATCCGCGAGGAATGTCGCGCTGCTAGTCTAGTAGCACCTGCGTCGCGTGTCGCGGAATACTGCGAAAATGAAAACTTACTAATTAATTTTGAAGAATTATTCATATTGCTATGTAGACTTTTTAATGGTGGTTTGACATAGCAAAAACTATGACTTTTGTATAATAACTGTCTAGAGATATAATAACCTAGTCAGTTAACTGCGCGACGTCACTGCGCTGTGTAAGAGACCCGTTGTGACCCGAAACTAGTAGAGCGTTGCTCAATTAGTTGACAATAATTAGATATATGTAAGTAGATATTTTTCACACGGAGTGTAATGACTTCTAAAGATGATATTATCATCACAAATCAGTACAAAAAACTCATAAAAATAGTGACAATTAGCCATTAGTGAAATAGAGCAGTAGTTGAGCAGTGATACGGTTTCCCGGCTAAATATCAGCTGGTAATTCTGGGGTGATGTCGCCCAGACTACCAGTTGGTATGAGGCCGGGAATCGAACGCACGTACCCACCATGACACATGTAAGTTTTTTTATATAAATATGTAATCTGTGTCAGCTTTTACGTGTGTCCTGTAGTGAATGTGTTTTTGCCTTTTTTGAGCTGTTTTTTTTTCTGTTGTCTTGTCTACTGTTTTTGATTGTCAACTTAACTCTTTCTTTGATTGATTTTCAACCTTATCGGTTTGTTATAAAGTTGAAAATCTCTAAATAAAGTAAATGAATAGTTTAAAATGTCTAATACACATACTTTATGTAGACAAAACACTGAATTTCAATAGTTGTTACATATCAATAATAATAATAATTAAAAATCAATACATTATTACGATATAAGTCAAACAAACTGTATAAAACACAGTCTTAGTATAACAAGCAGCTTAGCAAACAAGAATCAAGACCAGCGCTTCTGCCTACCTCGGTTTAATCTCATTTGGTAACTGTGAGGTTTCGGACGGTGCGGCCGCCGTCACCTGTCAACTATGACAGATGTCACTTTGACAGCTGTCACATCTGACAGCTGTCAAAGACCTGACAGATTGCATGGCGGGCCCGCAGCACTCAGATTACCATATGGGGTTTGACTGAGGGTAACGGCTTCACAACGTGTCGTCTGTGTGTATTTCACCTCGTGTTTTTTATTTTGCCGCTTTTTTATTTGATTTGATATTTTTTGTGTATGTTGTTTTTTGTAGTTGGGATTTTCATGTTTTCGGCAATATTTGTGGCAAAGTATGTAAGAAATTCAACCTTGATACTATTGTTCATATGGTCTAATTTTGAATACCTTCAAAATGTGACAGTTTAAAATACAAATATAAAGTAATTGAAAAAGAAATAGATCTTTAATAATTATTGATAATAAAGTCTAATTTCGATTGCCATTAGAATGTGAAAGTCCCAACTTTTACCTGCGTAAGTTTTCATTATCGCACAAGCAAGTTTATGTCTTGCAGCACATTTATTGTTGTTGTATGAGTGTAATGTGAATGTTGTTTTTTTGTTTATAAACTTGCTTTGGATAGCATGAAAATATAAGATAACTGTGTCGCAAGGAATAGTGGATCCTATTATTTAATACAAAAAGTGTAAAATTGGATGGCGTCCAGTCCACCTTCAATTAAATCTGTATTCTGTATCACTTTATAAGTTGAGTAACATACTCAGTTCCAAAATTTTCATAAGATTAATTCACTTTCATGCTACCTATTAGTACGTGGAAGCGTTAAAAGTTTTTGAATCAAAAATCAAAGTCATTTTACACCATTTAAAGAGCTTTTAAAACAAAAAAAATACCTAACGGGTTGCCAGGGCTCCGGCTCGACGTGCAGGAGAAGGAATGGGGTGGTTTTTAGTCAGTAAGAGTCTGACACTCCCTTCCGCCCCACCCTCACCTTCGATGATTTTCCCCATTAAAAAAACTACATATAAACTTTTGTTTTAGCTCTCTGAAACGTGTAATAAAGTATTTTTTCAACACAAAATACTTAAAACCTATCCAAAGCAAGTTCCATGTTATTATTTGTTGTCGTTTTATTTTGAATGCTCAGTTTTTGTAGTAGAAGATTAGAAGACTGCCATTATAGCCACATTGCTTCTGAGTATTACTTCAGGTACTGGTGGAATTAATAAATGGGATATTGGAAGACATTCACACTATATTTTGAATAAAAACAAAAAGCCCTTAAAAAAGTTGGGGTAAATATGACCTATGTTACCTTTAACAGGTTAATGTCAGCTGTCAAAGGGTTAAGTAAAATGTCGGTTGATATCCACATTAGGGTTGATTTTAGGCAGTATATCGTCAGCTGCATCATCGCTTATTATGAGGCGAGATAGTGGTTAAATGCTGACCTGTTAAAAACCTTTTCAAACATACAAAGAAATTATCACCCTGGGGCTGGCAGTCTTGACAAAGATTACGAGCAAAATTAGTCTTTAAGTCAGAAATTTTATTAATGAATTTTCAACTTTAATACAACAAGGTTAAGGTTGAAAATTGTTTAAATAAATTCATGACTTAAGATCTAATTTTGTCTATGACATATGACATATGATTGTTATCCTTTTGGGAATGATAATATGAATAAAAGGGCTTTTTAAAGGGCAAAAATAAAATATTTTTGCCCTTTAAAAAGAAAAAAAATACGCAAAATGTTAAAAAATCAACCGATATTTTATATTTCCAAAGTTTTTTCAATTACACAAGTGACTGAGTGTTTTCTAAAGCCCTACCCAGTGGCTGAATAATACTTTGAAGTCGTGTGCGCATACGCATCGAAGCTACGTATGAAGATTTTTGCGTGCATGGTAAGAGTAGTATAGTTTTTATGTTTTTTTAGATACTTAGTTTTATTTGGTTAGATTGTTTTTAATATTGTGTGTATAGAGACTATGTTCTTATTTTTCAGTGTTTTTAGTTAACCCAGTTTTATCTAATTTATAAGGCTTCTATTAAAGATGCCCATTATTTATTTTATAGAAATGTTTCCTTAGTTGTTTACAAAACAAAATATGTTTGGTGAAATTAAAATATGCTGCACAAATATGAAAGAAAACCTCCAATGACCAGGTTACGGGTTCAAGACCCGGTTTAACATTTTTTTTATTAAATCCTAATATGTCCATGGACGACGCTGATTGCTTACCATCAGCTGATTCGTCTCGTCTTTTATTTTACAAAAATACTTTAAAAATATTCTCAATCAGTATTCAAACATAATATTAACACATTACCTCCCTACCCTGTCAGTCCGCACCCTGCAGACGTCAGTAGCGGCGGCAGAGGAGCGCTACTACAACGCCATCTCCAATCAGCAGGACAAGGTCGACAAGAACCTTGTCAAGAACCTCGTCATCAACTACGTCATGACTGCTGCAGGGAATCAGAGTAACAAGTAAGTTAGTTTTATCCCAATTCCATACTCCGTGCTACTACTGAGATTTTTTTAAAACACTCAGTAATACTTTGCCCTACCCGACCATTTAAGTGTGGGAGAGCCATATTTCGGCACGAATAGGAGTGGTACCACGGCCGAGCAGACAACCGACGTGAAATAACGGTTGCATTGTGTTTCTTCGTGTGAGTGAGTTTACCGGAGGCCCAATTTTCTGTACCTTCTGTTCAAATTTTAAACTGATTTTTAACCTAAAGTTGAAATTCTAGTGGCGACTAAGTTATAGGTTACATATCAATCTTAATCACTCATCATCGATCAACAGCCTACAACTGGCCACTGCAGACCAAAGGCCTCTCACACGGAGAAGGTTTGAGCATTAATCACCACGCTTGCTCAATGTGGGTTGGCGATTCAAGCTTATAATTAAAAATAATAAGTCCAGGTTTCCGATGTTCCTGATGCTTTCATTCGCCCTTTGTCAGTGGTGTCTAGATAATCTTAGAAAGCAATTCACATTACATTAAATTATCTAACAAAATATTCTCTTTTTCTCCCACAGAACGCAAGTCCTGAGAATCCTATCAACAGTCCTAGACTTCAACCAACAAGAGTGTGAGAGGCTCGGCCTCTCCCGCTCTGCGCAGGCGCCGGATAGTTTGGCCGCAGAGTTTGTGAAGTTCTTACAGAACGAGTCCCGGCCGAGGGCGCCACTGCCCAACATGATGACGTTAGCACAGGGCAACACTAGTCGGAGCGCCACGCCTAGTTCCAGGAAGAATTCTGCTATAGGTGTGTTCAAATTGTTATTGTTTTCTAAATTTTTCAGGATGGTTAGGTTATTATTATAGAAGACATCTATAATTATATAAATAAAAATGAGTTTCCGGTCGTTAGTCTCGCTAAAACTCGGCTGAACCGGTTTGGCTAACTTTGATCTTAAAGTGGTAGCCAGTACGAAGTTTCCCGGGTCAGCTAGCTTTCGAATAAATACATAGGTAGGGCTGTACATTTGAAATGTGAACAGCTTCTACATGTTACAATCTTCTACTTTCTCATTGTCTAATAACACTTTTTATTCGAACTCGAAATTTTCTCATCAGTCTCTTTTGTGACTACTCAACCAAAGCAATGTATTCAAATGAAGATACTCTAAATTCATTGTTTTCTTGAATATTATATTTTTCAAATGTAGCACTTGTTACACAGATATCAATAAAATCTTAATTATAATTATTTCTTTACAGGACCACCACCGAATCTCCCGAAAACCGGTCACAGTCGCAACCCGTCGACTGGTTCTAACAACCTTCTATTCAGTAACCTGGATTCCATGGAGACCGCATCACAATTCTCCCGGGAATCTGACAGAGAACCTAGGTTCGTCACACAAAGCCTAGATACAGGTGTCAACCAGACTAGAAACACTGAGGGAGCTATTTTGAAGTCTGTGCTAAAAGATATGTGATTTTAACCCTTCTTTATAAGCCCCATTAATGTATATTAAATGTCCAATATTGGATGTACAAAAGCGCCACTCTGATGTCCAAAAGCGCCACCCATAGATGAACTTAAAACTGTGGCACTTTTGCATCTCCAAAAGAGATAGCAATATCTAACAGGCTATGTCTTAGAAAAAGATGTGATAAGTATTTGTGTTGGTCAAAGAAGTGACATTATGGTTTTTGCAAGAGCGAGTAAGATGTATTAAGAGGGAGATGAAACATCGTTCCTATTACTCAGGTTAGTGTTGTAGGTTGGCAACATTTGGAGTATTTTCTTTATTTGCAACACTGCCTTTTATCTGTCAAAGCGATATTGTCATTTTGAACTTAAGACTTCAACTTAACTTCCATAATTATTACCAATTCAGGGGATGCTTTTCAAAAAATTGTTGGATCAACGTGCATCTAGTAGAAGGAGTCTTATTGCCAATGATATAAGTTCTAAAATTGCTTACCTGAACGCTAGTTTGAAACGTCATATTTTTAACTATATAATAAATGATATTGAATTCCATACAACATACTCATTCGTATATTATTTGTTCCGTCTAAAAAGTTAAAAGTATATGTTTTATTATTTTTAAATCGCACGGATTTTGCTAAAATCGCACTTACTGCATTTGACATAAAGATAAAATTAGATGATCTGAAAAGTTCGTTGCCTAAAAATGAATTTCTTAAATGAATTAGCGAAAAATTTATAAATAGTGAAAAGTTTTTTACGATTTTGATATCTGTTAGCAAATGTTGCATGTACGTTTATGGTTATAAATTATGGTAGACGACAGTCAGAGTATAGAGACTTCACTTTTAACAATAGTGAAATTTCCTTAAAAACCCTGTTGTTCGGCTTAAAATACCATCAATCTCATACGTTATATATCACCCACAAGATGTCCATTGCCTCATGGGACTCGCCCACTGACTTCCACATAGACCAGTTGGAAGCCACCTGCATTCAGCAGATCGCTGCGACCAATTAAAAATAATGTTTTTACCCTCCCCTTCCCCAATCTCCCCAATTCCTGAATCCCCAACGATCCTCAAACTCCTAATCCCCAAAAGGCCGGTAACGCACTTGGTGTTCCAGGTATCCGTTGGCGACGCCGAATGCTTACCATCAGGTGTTCCGTCTGCTCGTTTACCGGCTTATGCCTAAGCCTTATGCTAAAATGTTTTGTATTATTTTTGTAAAAATAGTAAAATTTAGTCCATCTAGTTCTAGTATTACCACAATATATAACAAATGTCTTGTATGCCTTTCCTATTAACATAATAATAAATTCGGTCTAGGTCCTTACTAATCCTTCCAATACTAACAATTTCCTAGACGTTAACGCATCCATCTTGTTGTGGAAATCGGAACCATGGGGGCTACTATACTTCTCACCCGATGGCGCAAATGTAGGAAGGGGTATTTCTGTCAAATCACAGCAGCTGTCAAAAATTAAATGTCCAAGCGTGATACGAGCCAATTTCTTTTTATATTTGTTGGCCCATCGACATACTATAATAATGGACATGCCTTAGAGATGAAAATTGTGGCACTCCGAAAGAAAGAGAGGAAACGAGGTTTCGGTCTATTTTTATCTCTCTCGCAGAGTGATGCGATGCCAGCGCTCATAGTTAAGGATGCCGTGCTTGTCATGAAAACTGAGCGCCAATCATTTATGAGGAAAGAGATAGCGCTATACCGAAAGCATAGGCCATCTCTCTCACTCTCTTCAAACCAAAAAATTACTGCAGATTATACGCGTACGGCTTGTCCATTTGTATATGTCGATATCTCGCCTGGTGGAAAGCGATGATGGAGCACGTCGTCCCATAAGCAACCTATTCACTCGGGCCTTGAAGACACCCAGGCTATACCCTTCAGGAAATACAAACACGGTCTAAACTCAAAAGAGTTTAGACGCTAGTACTTAAAAAAGTATGAGGCAAAAATTTCGTTTAATTGATTATTTTGCATGTTCTGACTGTTTTCTAGCATTTTTGAAAATAATTCATGCGCGTTACAATTTAGCATTTATTTTATTTGTGTGTGTTTATGTTCAAACGTCCAGTTATCATGGTTTTTCGTTTACTTCCGATAATTTTAGTCTCAATGTATAGTTTTTGGTGCCTTACTGTTATTAGCTGGTGAAGAGGGACAGCAGAATTGTTGCTTAGACTTAAATTAATGTCCAATCAATTATTCCAATTGTACCAAAAAGTAAAGTACCTTACTGATGCCATCAGTTTTAAAGTCTAGATTCCTAGAAAAAACAAAGAGGCAGAAACTCTAAACTAATATAGCTCGGATTGTAACAGTACTTTTATTTTTGTAATATGAAACATTTTATAAATACAGTACAATAAAACAGTAACCATTAATGGCGGCTAACTTTATTTTTTTAATGTTAACGTCATACAATATTATGTTTAAATTAAATTAATAAGATAAAATAAAAACTCAATTCCACCATGACTTGCCATATTTAATTGCGTTCTTTGAGAATTGGGGTTTTAAAACACTAGCGACATCTGTTGGTAAGGGTTTGAGACGAGCCGTATTTTTTTATTTTTAGAAAGATTATTTGTTTTTGGCATTTTTGTCCTTTGCCCCGCCAGCTAAAAGCTTAATAATTAAGTTGTATAGAATTGTACATTATGTAATTAATTCATTAATTAATACTTATTATATTGATTTGTATTCAGTTCAATTTATATTGTGATCTAATATAATAATAATGAAATAAAATTTATGTTTTAGTATTCTTGTCTATAACTATTACAGTTGATTACAAAAGTGTTAGAATAAATTTATATTTTTTTATTCATTCAGAAATTATGCATGCAGTTTTAAATGTTGTTTTTTAAGGCAATAATTAATATTAAAAGCAATATTTGTTAATGCTTTTGTGTCCAACTGTAAGTTTAGGATTACGTGTTTGTAAATTTATTTTGTGAATATAAATAAATTGATTATTATATTAATACTATTATGTTAGAACATTGTCCAGCAGTGGACGGTCGCCTACACATTGTATTCCATACATAACGAGAAAATAAATGAATGATTGAAATATACTGCTGGTTATTTTATTTTTGCGTCAAAATACCTTTAATATATCGATAAAGATTGTTGTCGAATAAAAGCAAAGGCTATAGGACATAATACGCCTTTATAATTCTTACAGAACATAACATCACGCCTTTTACCCCCGAAGGGGTTAGGCAGAGGTGCGCATTATGGCACTTAAGGCCACTGTTAACACCCACTTTTCACTTTTTATGTTATAAGTCCCATGTTATAGGGGGTGAGCCTATTGCCATATACCGGGCACAATTCCAGACTCCGTACTACTACTGAGATTTTTCTAAAAAAACCTTAGCAATTCTTTGCCCCACCTGGGAGTGAACCCTTGCCCGTCAGCCGCCCTTGCGACAACTCTGCCATCAAAGCAGGCAGAACTGTCAAACAACCAATAAAAAAACACTGTTTGATGAATTTCGAAAGTAAAAGTGTTCTAATTTGTAACTCAGTCTTGAAAATAAAAGTAATTTCATCCGAAGCTGCGGACGACCTAACGGGTTACCGTGGCTCCAGCTCAAAGTAGGAATAGGAATGGGGTGGTTTATAGTCAGTAATAGTCTGACACTCCCTCCCGCCTCACTCGGGGCGGAAAAATTCGTTGGACGATTTTGCTTCTCTTTTTTTATATTTGATGGCCCTCAAAAAAAATGTCCTAGAATTTTATGAGTTTGGGTTAGAACCAGTGCATGTGGTTTTCTAATTTGTTTGATTATCTTATTAGTTTATGATTTAACTATCGTGAAACAGGTACCAAATTAATTAATTATTATTAACACCGCTTCGCTGGTCGCGGAATGCTACTCATGAACATGAACCTCTAACATGGCTTGAAACTAGTCGAGTTTTTCGTCAAATAATTACGTGAGTAAGCCGAAAAACATAATAATTAATCTTGTTAGTTATTTATAAGTACATACAGTACGTAACACATTTTGGTTGCGGTCTGCGAAACAGTGGTTTCTTCTTAATTTTTTAACTAGAAAAGTCCTCACTAGGGAATTTATTTATATTTAAACATTACATTTATCATTTATAAATTCACAAAAACGTAATTTATTTATCCTTTCCATTATCCCCTAAATTAAAACAAACTAGTTATTTCAATAGCCGAGCACATTAATTGCAGCAGTGATAGACATTGCCCCGCCGACTGCAGCGCGGGTGCGGTCGCGGCGACTGAGCCTCCTACCTACCTACTATATTGCAGTCTTGTACTTTTATTTAACGATACGAATACGATTTCAAATTCTATACGATATTTTAACACCTTATAAGCTTCTACTAAAGTTTAATAAATAATGGAGCCAATGTAAGTATGTGTTATTCCTGGCTATGCATCTGCCAAATTCATGAAGCAATCGGCGTCGCCCATGGACATCCGGAACATCAGAGGCGTTACAAGTGCGTTACCATCCTTTTGGGGATTCAGAATTTGAGGATTGTTGGGGATTCAAGGATTGGCACGATTGGGGAAGGGAAGATGGGTAATTGAGCCTCCGGTAACCTCACTCACACGACGAAACACAACGCAAGCGTTATTTCACGTCGGTTTTCTGTTCGGCCGTGGTATCACTGCACAGCATGTTTCTTCCACACTTAAACTTATATCGGACAAAACATGTAAAGTTATTTATTGTTTATTCAATATCTTTTTTTTCCCTTCTTATTCCATCAGCTCTTTTTATATCATTCATCACAGAATCCGACTATTTGTTCTTTGGTTACCTTGCCCCGTGTAGCGTTGCAACATCGTATCGTATCCTGTAAAAGATCAGTTACAGCTGAAACATTAAAGTGATTGGTATTCCATATTTCAGAGGCGCGCCCATCTTGCGGGAATTAATAACGGCTTATCTAGATAATGTAGGTTACCTATGTTTATACTAGATTACCTTTATAAAATGAGTGATTAATTAATTTATACTGCTGCCTCGTTGGCCGAGTGGTCGCAAGTGCGACTGCCGGGCAAGGGGTTCGACACCCGGGTCGGGCAAGGTTTTTTAAAAAAATTCGCAGTAGTAGGACAGGGTCTAGAATTGTGCCCGGTATATGGCAATAGGCTCACCTCCTATTACATGGGACTCACTACATAAATAGTGAAAAGTGGGTGTTACATTGTACAGTGTAATTAAGTGCCGTAATGTGCTCCTTTGCCTATGTGTTAATTAATTTATAATTTACCTTATTTCTTGGTAAAAATAGGGAGCGTAGATGACAGATGAGTACTTACATTTAATGGGAACATACTGATCAACGACGCAATAACTATAGGGCGATTATGAGTGGCGGTAAACAAGCAGACGGATCACCTGATGGTAAGCAATCGGCGTCGCCCATGGACACCCGGAACACCAAGGCGTTACAAGTGCGTTACTGGCCTTTTGGGAATTGGAAATTTGAGGATTGTGGAGGATTTGGGGATTCGGGAGACTAGGAAGGGGGGTAATTGGGCCTGCGGTGTGTCATTATCATCTAACTAAAAATATACAGGTAGCTGTCACTTCTAGATCATCAATGACCCTTCCAACGGCGTAATTCAATGAGCAAGTCGGCAGACATTTTATAAGAAGAGATACTCTAATACTCTCGTCGCACGATGAGATTAAACACATATTTCTTTAGTGTCGTAATTGAAGCTTAAATCATCGCGCGAGCACTGGATAATCTCGTTGTGGGACGAAATCGCATCGTATGATGGTTAACCAAACAGGACACCTTAGACTAAATTAAACTTGGGCCTGCGGATGGCGAGCATGGGTGGCTCGCCGCGCGACCAGAACTAGACCCGAGCGTACGGCGCCGAGCGTTCCGCGCGCTTCAAAAAACCACTACGGATGGGGCCCAATAAGGCTGATGCCGATACGGAGCCGCGGACGTCTTATCGGGTTGCCCCCAGGCAACGCTCCGGCTCGAAAGGCAGGAGTAGGAACGGGGTGGTTTTTAGTCAGTAAGAGTCTGACACTGCCTCCCGCCT